CCAGCCAGTCATTCCGTCAGAGAAGGCTATCAGGTTGGTCAAGCATGATTTCCCTTTGGTGAATGCACGCTGACTACTCCTGATCACCTTCTTGTCCTCCACATGCTTAGTGAAGACCTCCAGGATGAGCTGTTCAGCTGTTCAAAATGAGGTTGGCTAGACACAAGCTGATTGTTTTCCTAGCTAGCAATAGAGGTAAATGTATATTGCAATTGTTATTCAGTGTAATTTGGAATTTCAGTGCACTGCTGCATCACTGCACTAATACAAAATCCTGTGTAACCTCAACTAACTTTAAATAAGTAAACTTCAAATAAGTAATTTCAAATAGGTAACCTGTATGGTATATCTAAAAGAACCTGGTCAGAGAGTATTGGACTGGCAACTGGGTATCACATCTTGCAAAGTACTAAAGTAACCAGAATGAAAAAATAAAATACTTCTACAATCTCAAAACACAGTGACTACAGTCATTCTTCAAATAATTATCTTTTTTGCAGGTTCCATTATCTATTTCATGAATCAATAAAACTCAGTGACAGCAAATGCTATAGATATCTTCCTCAGACTGTAATTCAGACTGTGTACAGTAGCGCTATCCTGACTATAGTCAGTAGCATAACAAATGAGCCAGGTCTTGAGGATATTACTGTCTAGTGACATACCACCACATATGTACAAAAAATATCATTAAAAAGGCAACAACTGCCAAGTAATAACTGATAGTTTAGCATCCTGCATTTATCCTAAAGCAGAAAAAGTTGTGGATAGCTCCTATACTATGGTTAGACCACAACTGGAACACAGGGCTCCTGGGGAACATTCAAGGTGGTTTGAACCCAGCACTAGTTAGTAGCCGCTGTCTTGCATGGAGCAGCAGGTGGGGGAGAGCTCACTTCTCTGGGGTGGATTTCCCACATCTTCTAAGTTTCTGCCTGGCTAGGAGCTGTTTGGATAGAGAAAACTTAGATTTCTGCATCTCTTTGAGGCAACTTCTCTCACGGAGTTTGGCCGTCAGCATTAGTTGGCCGTCAGCTGCCCTAGTTCCCAACTGCCTTCGTGCTGTGGAGCTGCCACCTCACACAGCAGCATAGTGAACCTCTGTGTGATGTGGTGGCTCCTCATTTGTTCAGGCCTCAGCTCTAGAATAAGTCACCTAAATTGAAGTGCGTATATATGCACTAGCTGGCTAAGTGCTCGTCACAGTCAGTGGTTACCCAGTCATTGCAGTCAATGGATCCCAGCTGCAAGGAGCTCAATATAGCGCCATAAAGAGGGTATGTTTTTAACCACTCTGGACTCCATTTATCCATCTGCACAATGGGCCTTAGAATACCTTCCTTCTCCCCAGAGGAAGCTGATCTAAATACGATGACATTGCCCTAGGCACCAAACACGTTCCAGATTGAAATATAACTTGCCATAAAAAAATTAACAAATTGACCTATTGACTTTTGTTTATTTTTTTAAGTGAAGTGTCTGCTGTCTCCATGTCACAGAGCATTTACTATATTCACTGTACAATTCTATTCTGAGCACCAAACCGAGTGCATAAATCAAAACATGACACCTTTCAATTATTTGTGGTAATGAAATGTATGTTGAAACCATATGGTTGGCATGATTCTTGTTTTCAAATAATTAGTACTTAAATGCTGATTTGGAGCACTTCATTACTTCTCATCACTTGTCTCATCTTTCTTCACTGGTTTCTCCTTCAGGGAAAAAGCAGCATGGTTGTTCCAGCCTTGTATGTGCCTGTGAAAATTACCATAAATCCAGCTAACTTTACCCATACCCACAAGATGCCAGAATTGCAGAAAATTTGCAGTGCTTGTTGAAATTTTACTATTCAGCAGTTTTGTGGGTTTGCATGCTTATGAAATGTAACATTTCATGCTTGCTTGTTTGCAATGGGGTCAGCACAAGGCCTATGAACCACTGCTGACTGCTTTTAGCTTCGTTTACATCTGTCTTCCCAACTTTTAACCCCTTTCTAAAATTCACATAGTTGCATCCCTTGAGCCTGTATAATAAAACATGTTGGATTATGTATATTTGCATGGCCACAGCTCTCAAAAGAATCAATTGAATGTGCAGAAAGCACAAGATTCAGCCATAGTCCACTCTTGAATGGGTCATTACACAGTCTTTCAGAAATCAATTCTATTTTAGCGTTTTTATTTACTACCTATGACAAAATAATTACAAACATCCTTCCTTTCTTCTCTTTGTATGTTTTTCTACTCACATACAGAATCTGTTTGACTGTCTTTTCACTTGTTCATTTGTTTTGTTGTCTTATAATAGAAAAAGGCCCATCTTTGCACACCCCTCTTCTTACACAAATCCAATAAGATGTTTGGAGAAAAGCTGCTCCCATTGTAATTTTTCCCCTATAACTACGTTGTCCAACTATTGAGATATTCCTTGGAAATGCCCTAAAATAATTCTATAAAGGGCAAAGTTTTCAAAAGAATTTTCATTACAGACTTCAAAGGACTTAAGAGCCTCCCTATCAAAAAATCACAGAAAATAAAAAGTGAAAAATCATGCTTCACTGTCTAATCTATCATTCTATTAGAGCAAGACAATTCTATTTACTACTTCTTTGACTAGTCTAGCTTTAAATGTTTTGAAGAATGGGGCTCCACATGCTTTTGGGGTACTATTCTACAGTCTAACACCCCTCTACAATGTCACTTTTGTGCCTAACTGAATAAATACTTTCTGTTTTACATTTATATCATTCAAATATTGCGTCTGATTATTTGAGCTAACCTTTAACTATAAGATAGCTAAGGTATATCTCTAATAACAACCCTGCAATCGTTTAGGAATAATTTGGGATAATTCTGTCATAAACATCAATGGACCGATCATATTTTTGCAGGAAAAATTGATTAGAAAATTAGATTCTTTTATTTCAAAAGTAAAGACATCAACATCAGAGCTGCAAAAGAGTAGTGGTATAAAGGCCAGACAGAATAAAACACTTTTAGTTAAACCTGGAAGACTGCAGTGTTATACAAATGGTGGTATACAATTATTTTCCCTTAGTCATGAGAAAGCTAATTTCAGAAAATTTAGAATTCACAGGAATTTTTCTTGTGGAAGTTTAAACTATTCATTGTGCCAGATTGCTGAGACACATCTGCTGCTGTTCTGCAGAGCAGTGAAACTCATAGCTTCACAGTTATGAAGGAGAAAAGATCTCAGGAAAGTGTTTTTTACAACCACTAAAAGCATGATGAGGCAGAGCCACTGGTTCTTAGCTCCACACAAAGCAAGCAAAATTTGTTGTAATCTCTCCTTACCACATAACCTAATACTCAATACTAATGAAAGCAATGTTGCAAATATCCATAAAGAAACATTGGAAGGAAAGAAATAAGATGTATGCATAATTATCAGTGTTGCACTAATACGAATGGCTCTATCTGCACTAGCAAGTAGTGCAGTTTAGCAGGAGTATTAGCAATGTGGATGCAGTGTTCTTCCCACACACCTCAGGGGTGTACAGTGCTTTTTAAGAAGAGAGGAGAATTAACAGGCTTTATGACACCATCGCTGAATGCATACAGAAGGTACCAGAGCTGGCAATGGATAACGTAGAAGATAATTTCCAGATGTCTTAACAGATGTTGTCTAGCCCTAACTGGTATAACCCCATATTTAGCACTGGCTGGGACAGGCAGTGAGGTAGAAATAACCTAAATACCAAATTCCTCCCAGCTTTATTTGCTTTTGCTATTTGTCATCATAAGATAGAAGGCTAATGTTGTTTGAATAACAAATTGAGCTTTTACTCATTGAGCTTCATTGATTCTTGTCTGCTTCCTGTTTTGTCAACAAGGTGATGCCCACTGCAGTGTGGTGTGTACCAGAAAGCCAGGTGAGGTTTTCCAAACAAGAGTGGTCTCCACAAAACGAAAGGTCGATTCAGCTGAAATAGCACTTCCCCTTGACATTTGCACTTGTAGGCATGTGATGTGACACAAAACTTAGCAGCAGCTGAGATTGGAGTGACCTTGGGGAGACAGAAATCAACTTTGAGCTTTAACAACATCCCTACCTGTCATAATGCTGGATTTATGGCATTCATTCTCCACCTCATAAATCAAAATCACGTATTTCTGCCTTTCAATACACACAGATTCATTGTCTACCTATAGTTGTTAGAGTGCCCCTCTCACACTAGTAGCTATCTCATTGATCTATGGCTATGCTCCCACCATAAAGCAACTTAAATTCTCATTTTTAAAGGAAGAACAAATGTATCAGCTGGTCACTTTACATGACCTGGTTTACTAATATCAAAGACATTTTTAAATGGATCATTTTCAAAAATATTTCCTGATTTTTAACATTTCTGTTTTTAAGCACATCTCAAGCTGTAATCTATTCTGACGTGTAGGTAGGAAGTCCTTGAAGTAAAATTTATGTTAAAGCTTTACAGTTCTATTTCTTTACAGAAACTAGGAAAGGTAATATCCTATTATATACTCCATAATGTTATTTTTTACCAGCCAGGCGACACTTATTAATGGCTGAAGTATTTTTGAACTATTATTACCGGTAAAGATTATTGTTGAATTAGTGTAATTATAGAAAAGTTGCCTTATTTTACTTTAAGAAGTCATAAATCTTGTTACATATTTTTGTTGCCTATCAAATAATAGAAAAGCAATTATTCTAGCAGAGAAGAAAAGAAATAAGCTAGTGTAAGTTATTGCAAAATAATCAAAAAGAGCAGTTTGTTTCTATCCATTTCTTCCCACAACCTATATAAATATTCTAAGACCATGTTTATATGAAGATACAGTTTCAGATCCCTCAGTGGGACAACAGATGCCTAACCACATTGTGGAGGGAAAGAAAAAGTAGCCGTCTAAGCATGTTTACTTTCAATGACAAAGAAGTTCTAACTTGTCCCTCAGTGATGACTCACTGACTTAGGACTATAAAAGTAAAGGTAACTGCTCTCTAAAACATCAGAACTTCAGAAATCCAGCACGATGCAATTAAGATTCTCAGCTATTTTCTTTTTCTCACTGGGTTTGTCATTTTGTGTGACAATTCCTATTCCCCTTGAAGATAGCCATGAATTCACAGAGGAAGATCTTCAGTTTGCAGAGGTACAGTATATAATAATTAATTTGCATATTTTATAGTAAGTTGTATAGTTACAATTGTTCATTGGAAACCAGGGTTTTTGCTTCTTTTTGCCTTCTTAGCGCTATCTCAGGACTCACTATGATCTCCGTCCAAATCCTGCTCGCGTAATGAGAAAGAGTGCCAACACCGTGGCATCTAAACTTCGAGAAATGCAAGCTTTTTTTGGCCTGGAGGTGACAGGAAAATTAAATGAAGAAACATATGAGCTGATGCAGCAACCAAGATGTGGTGTCCCAGATGTGGGGGAATATAACTTTTTCCCTAGAAAACTCAAGTGGTCAAAAACTAATTTGACATACAGGTAAAAGCACGGCATTTTGAGTGTTATTACTGTTCCTTCTATTCAAGTACCTTGTCTAGGAGGCAGCTCAGTATATGATGCTGATGGGAGAAGGGCGTATTCAAGCTTGTAAGATTCATGTTAGAGCTTAAAATCTTTATGATCCCAAAACAAAGCTTAAGGAAATAATTACATACTTTTCCATCGCAATTTGTCTATGTGGGAAAGCTGGTGTAGATGCACAGCATGCTACTCACTCGCAGTCTGGCCCACCTGTGGACACTCTGGGTACATCTATGGTGCTAAATGAAAGAGGAGTGCGGATGGAGCTCGTGCACCTCACTACTTCTCCTCACACTGCTTAATCTTAGGTGGCTCCATGGCTTTGTTTTGGGTGTATTTTGGTGAAGTCTGTCCACAACACATCTGCTGTAGAGGGGCTTATCCAAAAGCAGTGTAGATGCAAACCAGTCTGCGCAGCATGGCTGTGAGACCAGGGACTGACCCTTGTCCATTTTTCGTTTCATGGTACAGACCCAGGCTCTTCGGCTGCAGTGGGAGCACCACTGCTGCAGGGTGCCCTCAGGGCACTTTGGCACTCCTCTGAGCTCCAGTCTGGTCAGGCCCTCGCAGTAGTCACCAAGAGGGTGGTAGTTATCTCATTTTAAATCTGACCTTGGCCACCCTAACTCCTTTCACAGGTGGTGGAAAGAGACGTGCTTTTTCTAGGGAGCAGCTGGACTGACATTTGAGACATTTGTTTTAGGATGAACGTGTCCTGAATGTGCCTGTTTCTCTCCATTGACTAAAAGGGGTCTGGGTGACTACTTGCCATGTAGGTCCCATTTAAGTGGGTCGCACAAATCCCCGCACTATGTCCTCAGGCAGTTAGTGCTAGGAGGCTATGGTGCTGAAAGGCCACATGCTAGCTCCTTCTCCCTAAGATCATTGACAGGGCATTTGACCATTTCCTACCTGAATTTCTTTAGCACATTGCAAATATAAACTCACTAAACTCTTTTTGAGATATCAGTCCAGCAGCTGGTAATAAATATTGCTTTTATCCCAATAATTCTATGCCCACCAAAAGCTCTTTGGGTCATGTTTTGCCTTTCCAGGGATTCAGGGTCATGAGATATTTTATATGGCATAAAGAACCTTTCTAATTTACTGATATAGTTTGATTTAATGCAGAATACATTTGTGATTTTCTATATCCTCTGGTGTATATAAAAGAAACTATAAAAAGCTGTTGGTTCATTTCAGATGTCTCTGAGTGACTTTGATGAAAATTGAAATGGTTATTTCATCTTTTGGAATGTTACATACAGCTGCCCAAATCTTTATTTTTAGATAAGAACATGAGGAAACAAGCAACAACTTGTTAATTAGGTGTAGAGTCTCATAAAAGTGTATTACAAAGTTGCTTCAATCTACACAACTTAACTGGAGATATTAATCTGTTTGTTAGAATTATGAATTACACTCCAGATCTGAGCCGCGCTGAAGTAGACAGAGCTTTCAAAAAAGCCTTCAAAGTTTGGTCTGATGTGACACCGCTTAACTTTACTAGAATACGGAGTGGAACTGCTGATATCATGATCTCCTTCGGGACTAAAGGTAACAGAAACTTTTTTTTATATATTACAGTTATATCATTGCTAATTTAATAAGATGAGATATAATTGATTTCATTGTTATGATTGCTGTTTTATAGAACATGGTGACTTTTACCCTTTTGATGGACCTTCTGGCTTACTGGCACATGCTTTCCCTCCTGGTCCAGACTATGGAGGAGATGCCCATTTTGATGATGATGAAACTTGGTCAGATGATTCTAAAGGTAACATAAGTTCCAGTGACTGTTTGAAATGGTGTTAGAGGGAAAATTTCCTACCTGTTTGATGTTTACAAACAGGTTATCTTGTCTATTTCATAGACAAGAAAATAAATAAAATAAATAAATAATTTATTTATTATTTATGAACTCATAAATAATTAAGTTCACTGTCTATTTTTAAGAGGCTGTTTTTAATCCCCAGTCATAAATAGGAGTGTAACACCTACCTAGCATAAATTTTAAGATACACACTTCCTAAGTAGAGGTGATTAAAAAAACTTGTCAAACAAGGCAATCTGGGAGCTTGGAGCTCTATCATCTTGGCATTTCACCGAGCTCAAGGGCAGCTAGTTCTGATAACACTGATGGGAATGGATTTACTGAAGCCAATAGGAAATACATCCATTTACCTCTGCTGCAAATCAGCTTCTTATATCTAATATGGAAATTCTTCACCTTGCGTATCCAAGAAAGAGTTTTAAGGGAACAAAACCACTGCACTTTCGGTACGATGCTATTTCACCCTCCTGGCATCACATCTGACTGATGTAATGCTGCAGACAATATGGGCTGTCCACTGGAGATACATTCCCAACAAAACTTCTCTTGATTTGAGTGGGACTAAGACTTCACGCTAGAGCTTTCCAGTGTTGTTAAATTTCAGGGAATCTGCAGCTGGCTACAGAGGGATATTGTCAAATAAGACTTATCTTGAACACCTGCTATGAGATGCTGAAAGGATTAGGCCCTTATTAAAGCAAAATTCACATTAGCTTGAAACAAAACAAGCAATTACACATTGTTTTTCCATTTCTCCATTTCTCTCCTTTATGTTCCACATGTTAAGGCACAGTGTTAGGATTAGCTAGTCCAAGTCCACTTCCTTGACACATTAGTCCAAGTCCACTTCATTGACATTCACTTTTACTATGATCTCTTACAGGGTATAACTTGTTTCTTGTTGCTGCCCATGAATTTGGCCATTCACTGGGGCTTGAACACTCCAGAGACCCTGGAGCTCTGATGTTTCCTATTTACACATATACTGGGAAAACTGGTTTTGTGCTTCCTGATGATGATGTACAAGGGATCCAAGAACTCTATGGTAAGTCTGTATAATATGTGGTATATACTTCCTTTGTCATTATAACCTGCTGGAGATACACTATACAGTTGTCAAAGAGCTGCAGATGATCAATAGCAACAATCACAACTGATTAAGATCAAATCACAAGATTCTCGGCAAACATTTCAGGAACAGAGATTTAATAGTTCAGAGAAAAAAAAATTGAAAGCAACATTGCAAAGAGCAGCTGATAGCTGTGCTGTCTTCTTCGGGAGGGTGGGGCTGGAAAGAGATCTGAGGCTTTTTGACTTGCTTCAAAAAAGGAGGTAAAACAGAACCTAGTGGGAGAAAGAGGAATGTTCAGGTTTCAAAGTTTCATCCTGCAAAGAAGAAAATTTTGGAGACATTGAAAACTTAAGAGTACAGGGAGCAAGTGCACTTAACATCTTTGCAGCACAGCTGAACCACAAAGTCCAAGAACATATCTAGGCTAAAGGAAAGGCAGAAAGGAAGAACAGTCTTTCCCCAGTACAAACGATTTGTTCATTATGCTTGTAGTCATCCTGGTGCTTGGAAACTCTTCCACAGCCTATTCAGTATTATAACTCATAGAAAGAGAATTAAAGGTTTTAAACCTGAATCACGGTATATGGTTGCAGGTGCTGGAGACAGAGATCCAAACCCCAAACATCCAAAAACACCAGAGAAATGTGATGCAGAATTGTCTCTGGATGCAATAACAGAACTTCGTGGAGAAATGCTGATCTTCAAAGACAGGTAAAGAGAAGCAAATGGTGGATGGTATGTGGAATGTGCTGGGTGCTTACAGTACCTGACTCAGGTAAATGAAAGAAGTACCTGTCCAGAAAATACCGCATAACATTCAAACAAGAAAGAACATCATTTCACTGTTTTACTCAAGACTTTAGTCCTCATAAATAAAATAGATCAGAAGTCGTATGGATGTCTTTAAGAGGCTGCACTGTATATCTTTTTAGGCAGGATTTATAATACAACTACACACTTGACTATCCTGAAATATGAAGTAAAGCTGAAGCGGCTGAATACTCTGACCCCATCTGTATACCTTTTTCATTTCACAAGGCTTTCTTCATTATGCAGAACTCTACTAACACTTCTTTGAATGAAGTTGTACTTCATTCAGAAGCTTACAAAAGGCAGCAGTGTTTCTCTTCTTAGGCTAAATGAACAAAAGATTCAAACTTGTCTCTTAAGATGATCACAGTGTGAGGGACAGAAGTGGTCTGCAGCTCAGTGCTACACGAGAAGGAAAGGACAAGCCTACCAGTGGCACTGTATACTGAAAATATTGTCCATTATGAAAAAGGGGTCATTCGCCATTAGCTATTCATTAATATAACACATCAGAGATACTGCCATTCTGTAGCATGATAAGGAGCACACAATATATTTACTTTTTCTAAACTAGGTTTTTCTGGCGACTGCACCCTCAGATGGTTGATGCAGAACTGGTACTACTTAAATCATTTTGGCCAGAGCTTCCAAATAAAATTGATGCAGCTTATGAAAACCCCATCAAAGATCTTGTGTTCATGTTTAAGGGTAAGTCTTTTATTTTGTTGTTGGCAGAAAAAAGTCACGTATTTAGTCAAGCTCACGTAGCAATGGAAAGACATTCAATAGAAGAACATAAAATCCTTCCTTCCTTGCTTAAAAAACAACTTATTTTGGTTTCACCCCATGCAAACCTACAAAATTTCAGTGTGTTAGGAGGTATACAATTAAGTTCAGATGTGTAGAATCGCAGTTAGTGTAAGTTGTTAAATATTAGCTGAGAATACGGCCTAAGAATCCGTTAGCTACATGAAAATAAAGATTATGGCATCCTCATTTTGCTCTATCATCACAGCTGAGCTTTCACAAAATACTAATGCATACTTTGTTCTTATTTTCAGGAAAGAAAGTCTGGGCTATGAATGGCTATGATATAATTGAAGGCTTTCCTAAAAAGGTATATGAAATGGGGTTCCCTAAAGAAATGAAAAGAATAGATGCAGCTGTCCATATTAAAGACACTGGCAAGACTCTCTTTTTTACCGGAAATAAGTACTGGAGGTAAGACAGAGACAGACTAGTGCTTCTTTTATATTTCTGTTGTTTCAAATTTGACACTTAGTCATGGGTCACACTTTGTCGGTCCAAGGAGTTCATAGATGATACAGCTCTGCAGAATATGTTATAAAGACATTTTTAGCAAGACTTTTTTAAACATAAGTGTGACAGAAAGGAAAGGACAACAAATCGCTCTATTCCAGGAGAGTTTATAACATGGGCATGTATGCCAGACAGAGTTCCCTCCTTGCTTCCTTCAGCTGGTTGTGTGGCACAAAATGCATTATCACAGCTGGTCTGTGAGAGCAAAAACTTCATACTACCCTATGATGGCTGTTTTTTACCAGCCGTGAGTGGACTTACAGTCAGGTCAGAGATACATCATTAAGAAAGATGCTGCGATCCCTTCCCAGTACCTCTGTGCCAAATACCCTCAGGGTACGCTTGCAGTGCCAACACGTCCAAGTACAATCATCTCCATATAAGACATAGTTTATAGCTCAATTTTGAAAACATACCTTTATTGGGTTTGTGTTTACTGAGGCTGTATTTTTGATGTAAAGGTGCCCTGCTTATTGACTTGAGATTCATTATTGCCCTAGACATAAGATACCTAATGGCTGCTGCCTACTCCTCACATGGGTAACTTTAAACAGAGCATACAAAGGGCACAAACTGAAACCTCCAGGGTGTTAAATCCTCTGAATTTACATTTTCTTTTTTATGTTTAATGTAGTTATGATGAAGAGAAAGAGGTTATGGAAACGGGCTACCCCAGACTGATAGAGGAAGAATTCCCAGGAATTGGTGACAGAGTGGATGCAGTCTATCAAAGAAACGGTATATAATCTGATAATGATGCTTTATTACCATTAACTATGCCCAAAACTTGGGATTAATGTTCTGTGGGACGTTCTGGCATTTTTAATTTTGATTTGTGTGACAACAGCACTCTTGACTGCACCGAGTTTCTAATCTTAATTGCCTTCTGGCAAAGTCTTTCTTTATAAACTGTAAAGAAATGAGAAGCCAGTGGAGATCTGCCGCCTTGCTTAGACAACTGAAGTGGTATAGTTAATGTAGAAGTATTACCATGCATCCTTTCCTTCAAATCTAGACTCTTCCTTTCCAACTCTTCAACAGAGTCCAGCTTATCCTATCCAATATTTCCAAGTCAGAGAATTAAATATTAACAGGCAAACTCTGGATTTTCCTAAGCAAATGATACATATAATGGAGAGACTGACACCGGATCAAAATATTGGTTGTTTTAAAACACTGATCCAGAGTTGCCAAATGGAATGAGGACCTTTGAAAGTTTAGCTCGGCATTTTAAAAACTTAAATATTGCATTTAGCAGAGTCTTTCAAAAATCAAAACAGGATAACATTTTTTGGAGACAGATTTCTCAGGGTTAATTCATTTTAATTCTCTTTTTCCTTAGGTTATTTCTACTTTTTCAATGGACCATTGCAGTTTGAATACAGCATCTGGAGCAAAAGAATTGTCCGTGTCCTGCATACTAATTCCATATTTTGGTGCTAATTACCCTTGAGGGCCATGTTATAGGCTGTGGAGCGGCTTGTAGTACATGGAGATGACAATATGGAAACAGAGGTTTATTAGAGGAAAAGAAGGTTCTGTGAATAAGCACTGGCTAACAACCACCAAATGTATACTGTATATAGGGAACTATATATCTGTATGTCAGTCTGGAACTGAATTAACTTAATAGGAAAGGAAAAGAGAAATGATTAGCATTTCAAGGGGCATTACACCATTTAAAGTTCATCTAGCATTAAAGCTGGATTCCTCTGTGAGATGCTGAATGCATCCTACATGATCACAAGCACTATTAATTCCCAGTAATCTGTGCATTCTAATATCTTTCCAGGATCTCTCAGCATCTCCCAAATAGTAGAGCTCATAAGCCCGGGAGCTTTATCTTTTTAAACTAACCCTTAAATTCTTTGTAAAATTTCCATTAAAGCACTGGGAATTCAGATGTGAAAAAGGAGTCAGGACTGCGTGTTGACGCCCTGAGTAGGACAGCATCTGGTTATCCCACTGAAGTTAGAGAATGCAAAGGCATTTGAATATATCCTCATTTGAATGGGGATCAACCAGAGTGCAACTTGGTATGAATCTAAATCCATTAACACGGCTCAGCTTTAAGCTGGAGTAAACTGAAGCAGTTTAAATGACATTTATAGAGGTTATAGAAGAGAAATTGAACAGTCAATTCAAAATAATTGGAATAATACCTTTTTTTATGTTTGTCACCCTTTCAATACCTACTTCACCTGTTTCCATGCCATGTAAGTTGCTATTTTTTTCAATTCATGCAAATGATGCAAGACTGTGATTATTTCTTAGTTTAAAATAATATTAAATAAATTGGAAGAAAAAAATAACATTATGAAATTACTTCATTAAAATATCCTACACTGCATGTCATAAAAGCAAGACAGAGATATGGAACGAAAGAAATCAGGAACCTTAACCTGTGCGTTTTATTCATTAGAATTTGTACCTCTAATTGAAAATATGTTCTTTTATTTTGGGGGGGGGGGGGGGGGGAAGGGGAAGGAAGGAAGCATGGAAGGAAGGAAGGAAGGAGGGAAAGATGGGAGAGAGGGACAGAAAACTAAGAGCTAAGTAGGAATTAGTCTTTATTATTATATAAAATATCAGAAATGATTAAGAATTTCTATGAAATTCAGTTCCACATTGGTTTTAATGGTAAACATTAAATAATTAACTGAAACTAACTATCCTGTCCTCCTTCCCCTCAGAAAAGATCAAACTCCAGTCAATCACTCAGCCAGCTTGCCAGGCAAAAAACATTAACGCTGAATGCCTTTAAACAGGCATAAATTGCCAAGCTTCCCTAAAAATGCACTCGGTGAGTTTAATTCTGTGTCTTATGCAACACAATGGTCAGATGAGGTAACATAGCAGTAATGGCCAATTCTGACTGTAAAACTGTGAATTAATGAACACCAGACCTTAAAATATTTAAAGGAAAGGCAAGGAAAAAAGAATAGGAAATGCGAGGAAAAAAGAGCTGAAGAAAAACCTTACAAATGGAAAAACTCAGAACACGGTAAAATCAAAATTCTGTCATATAATGAAATAATATCGATCATATCATGTTAGAAAAAAAGTCTGTATGATTATATGCTCATAATAAACAGCCCACAGCTCATTTATATTTGAAAGCATTTCCTGAAAGGATGATACCTGACGAAATAATACTTGATATTGGGCTGCATTTTAGTTCAATCACTTTGCAGTGAAATAAGGGTCTGGACATGTAACCCTAGTCCTCATTACTCTCAGTATAGCGGCTTGGCAGAAAATTGTGTCGGAATAATAGAGAGTCTAGCGTAAAGGACAACTGATTCTGACTGCTCTGAATTTCAAAGGTCTATCTTTTACCTAACTGGGGTGGGGAATGCCAGGGTGCACAGGCTAGCAAGGAGATGCTCATTAATGTCTTTCATATTTATTTGAGTTTCTGTTAACACTGAACATCTGATAGAGTACTACATAGGAAGCTGCGTCTTTGAGAGGCTTCAATGTGATCATATCCAGCTGCTCCCCAGCCAAAACAGTCAAAAAAAAAGTGGCTGTCGGAAAGCAGCCTTTGGCTCCAGTGCAAGCAAGGCTCCAGCTTGTGCCTCTGCATCTCCAATGAGAGACACAAACTGCTCTGCAGTTAGCACTGTTTAAGTTTAGAAAAGTACCAAGGTTGTCAGTTACTGGAATTTTGTGCCGTAAAAAATGGAAAACAAAAATGCTTGTGCTGTGGAAGGCTGAGGTCAGGGCCAGAAGGACCCTGGAGCCATGCAGCCAGCAGGATGGAAAGAAAAACTCTCCGTGAGATTTGGTGCCTTGGGAGCTGCTACCATCACATGCGAATTGCATTGTACGAGTCTGTGATGAGAGCAGTGACTGCCTACAGACAATCTCCCATGGTCATAAGAGGTCTCACCCAAGACTATCAAGTACTGAAAAGAAACAAGAGTGACTTTCTTGAGACAGGAACTGAAGTGACTGCTTTGTCTGAGGCACTGTGAGTCAGGAAACAACCGTGAGAGGCTGGGACAGCTGTGTCCCACGGTGCCATACACGCAGAATTAATAAATTCCCAGAAGGCGGCCAGTTTTGTGTGGTTTGCCATACACGCAGAATTAATAAATTCCCAGAAGGCTGCCAGTTTTGTGTGGTTCTCCACCCGATAGTACATGAACTATCGTGAACTGATATGCCTTTTATATCTATTTTGAGTTCTACTAAGAGAGCTTATTCGGCACGGGCAGAGGGATCAACACAGAAACGGAATCGGTAAGGTGCTTCTGCAGGAGCAGTTTCTGTGCTGCGCAGAAACTCCTCTTACATGAGCCTGACCAAACAGAAAAGAGAAGGTGCATATAAATGTTCAGGAGAGAGATGGAAATGAGCAAACATATTCAAACTTTCATTTAATTAAAGGGAGTAACTAGACGGCTCTAAATTCAATAGTATATTGGAAAGACAACAAGCACTGTAAGAGATAATGTGAGCTATAGCAGGTGTGCTGGAGAAAAACTGGAGAAAAAAGTTAGTTTTAATATGCAGCTAGTTTCTTCTTTATATAAGCACCAGAAACTGCTCTGGGGTCACTAGATGGCAGTGACAGCTCTGTTCCTCGGAGGACCTGCACAGAAACCCTCAGCCAGAGACAGCAGGACCAAAATATGATTCTGTGGGTGAGAAAACTGCAGCAAATATCGTTAGCAAATAATAGTTGATAGCAAATTAAGTCTTACACTACATGATACACACATTACATTACATTACATGCATTACATTACATACATACATTACATTATATTACAAACAGCACTAATAAGTAGACTTTAATGACTATATTATGTTGAAATGTGGATCTCTGAGAAATAAGTTAGGATACTAACATGTTTAGGGAACTTCTCTTATACACATTCGCTTCCAGGCCAATAATTTTTCAGTCTATTGGCAGGTTTTTTTTCTTCAGCGTCGATGCCATGCACCTGAAACACTATATTTCATGGATAGCCTTAGGAATAGCATGATCTCTTAGCTGAACTTCATTCACTGGAAAAACACACAAAGGCACAAACACATATTCCAACTCCTTAGCCACGTGGCTACGAACCTGTATTTCCAAGAAGGATAAAAATGTAAAAATGACAATATGAAAGTAAGGCAAAAGGAGAGAAAAACTTTTCAGTTTTCAAAGAACCCAAGTAAAACAGTACAAATACAACCAAAATTGTCTATAGTATCAAGTATTAGACCACATCTGCTCAGAAGCGCAAAGGACAATTTAGAGAGAGGCTTTCTCAGTTATTCTCTGCTAGCATTTCCAGTTTTGTGAATACATAACAGATGGAGAATGTGACCTTGATCTTTGAATCCCTGATACTGCCAAGATCAGTAAGAATACTGAGGATTTGTGTCTAGGCATAGAATGATTTCCCTATCCTGGAAATATTTTTGAAACTTTCAAACATGCTTTCTGTTTGCAATAAAAAAATAGTTAAGAAACTTGGAAACTTTTAATTTAAGGAAAGGAAACATAAGAAGACTCTAGCGTTTGTCCTCTGGGATTGTCTGTAGCCATATTGTTAATTAGGATACTTATTGCATTTTGGGGGAAACAGTATGCCATCTGAGTTTTTTGCTCAGCCTAGTTTTGAAGAGGGTCCAGACATCAGTCTCTTACCTTTTAGATGAATGAACTGACTAATCACTTATTTTATGGTGAATATCTTTCCATCCATTTTGCCAAAGATGTTTCTTCTTTGCGCAAACACAAATAATCAGTAGTCAAAGAAAGACTGACTGCCCACTAATCAGTAAGCCCATTTGGGGTGCAGGATCATGTCTTTGTGCCAGTCATGATTCATTTTTTTGTACAAAGTGATGCGTCTACATGCAATGTGGGTGTACACTATTTTTCGGTTGTGATGATTCTGCTTTTTCTGATGAAAAAATGGCATTTTCAGAAGAGACTCCACCAGTTCTGCAGAAGTTACTGAGCCCACAGAGATTTCAATCGGGTCAAGAATCTTCACCTTTTCTGCCTAACCTTCATGCGGTGGACACATCCTTTTTAGTCACAGCCTTTCAACTACATGATGCAGTTCAAATTTCCAGTTAGTGTATTAGGAATATCTCTAGCATTCAGTTCAGCTATCCTGACAATGTCTTATGCCGTTATCACCTCCACACTCTGTCTCAGTGAATTGGCAGTCTGTCTTCCACATAGAAAATGGATGAGGCAACATTTTCCTCTGAGAAAAATCTTTCCAGGCAGCAAAGAATCATGCATCTTATTTATTTGTTATATAATAAATTTTCTATTGCCATAACAACAAAATATGATGCAGTTCTGTGTGTATCTGAGCAAGCCATTCAAGTTGTATCTTTACTTTTCTCATGGACTACACCAGAGTCCTATTACCATTTGACAGGACTGGCTCACATCCACTTTGCTTAGGAGTAGTGTCCTGAGAAAGGTCATATCCATACTGCATAGTGTCTTCTGGATCACATGTGATTTTGTTCAATTCTTCTTAAAAGAGACAGATGTGCCATCTACAGGGTCAATATTGTTTTATCCAGCCCGTAAGACACTGTTATGGTGTTCTGCAAATTCATCACTGCATGGGCCGCCACCCCAGGAAGAGAGCAAGAAACATTCCTTTTTACACATTATAATCTTCACAGCAATGTAAAATGATCTAGCCCTCCTAAGCACTCATCCTCCCAAGAGGAATCTGAGTCTATCTGGAACCAGCTGGAGTTCACAGTGTCCCTACCACACGTCTGTATAACAAACC